CGTGCTTCAGTGATCGAATGCATTAGTTTTTCAATGAGTAATTTAGGCCTACATTAGCTTCGAAATTTCAATTAAAATATTGTTATAACGTATTCCTTTGGATCCACTTAACGATTAAGGATTAGTTCGTCTCTTCAGTTACGTTTTATACAGATCGCGTTCATTGGTAGGTCTAACTTCATAACAATATTTTAATTGAAATTTCGAAGCTAATGTAGGCCTAAATTACTCATTGAAAAACTAATGAATTCGATCACTGAAGCACGTAAAAATCTTTAACTGATTAGTCAATTCTAGTTAATTCAGTATGCCACTTTAATATTGTACACTATTTCATGAATGATCGAGATTCCTCGGAGACCTAAAATTTCAGAAACTTCTGGCCAGCACACAATTATTACATCATATAAAAGAACTCCCTCTAGTGAACAAAACATTGAAATATTAAATATACATCTTCAGGTAACGATAAGCTAAGTTCTGTAGCAATAAACAAACTTATATAAAAAACAATTTAACTTATGTAATATTAAGCTAACGTCTATAAAAACAATTAACTTACCAACAATTATAACGACGTTCAGAAACAGGATGATTTGAGAGAGCGAAGATACGTATAAAAGCTTCATGGCTTTGTAGGCAGTTTTCTTAAAAATTGAAACAAAATATTTTATTAATAGAAACCACTCTAGAAATATCAAAACACCGCCATCGACTGAATAGATGCCCCTCTCCCCCTGCTCCCCCCCCCCCAGTGGCACAACGCTATGTCTGCGGACTTACAACGCTAGAAACCGGGTTTCGATACCCGTGGCGGGCAGAGCACAGGTAGCCCTTGTGCAACTTTGTGCATAATTAAAATACAAACAAACAAACCATCCTCTCCCTGACCGCTACCTTGTTTTCTGTTTTGGTGTGTCGATAAATGTGGTCTGTTTGTTTGTTTCTGTGGTTAGGTTTCTTTTTGTACAGAAACTAAACTTATATTATCTGAGAAGGTGACCTTGACTTTTGACCTCTTTAACCTAAAAAATAAAATAGTTCTTCTTCACCCCCCCCCCAACAGAAGTGACGACCTGTGAAATATATTTAAACCTGTTGCTTTGAAACCTATTTATCGTGTGGAAAGTAAATGTCGACAGACGGACGGACGGTCAATATTATTGCAATCTCCCCCCCCCCTCGAATCGTTTTATTCGGTGAAAGAGATGAAAAATATTAGAATTCTGAAATAACCGAAAAGCAATAAATCACTTACTTATCTATTCTCTCAGTGATAGAAAAGCGTTCCTCGTTCTCTGTTTGTGTCTGGTTGTTTTAACCTAGTTTTTTTTGTTGAACTTATAAAAATGTGCTAGTTGTTATTTCAGTGTTTCTATCTATTTTAATGCACGTATGTAACGAATCAGGACTGAACGGTATCTCATGCGCACGTGAACTAAACGGATAATCCGACTTCTTATGGTTGGGGTAGAATCGTTCCTAATTTCAAACCATTGATAAAAGAGAAGGTAGCCAGCCAGCAGTATCAGCTTCTTCAACCGGATAAATTTTATGATGCGCCCACAGCTGCAATTTCAGAGCGTGTTCCGCGGGTCGTGTGCCGAGCCCCAGTAGTAGCCCGATAAGTTAAACACTAGACAACGCTCGGCTCGTATAACTCGTAAGACTAGTTTACATTTTATAGATATAACATAAAAAAACTGTAAACGTTTTCTATAACGCGAATTCTTGTTTTTGTTTATTTGCTTTTCAAGTGCAAGAAACAAAACAAATCAACAAAAAAGACAAACACCTGACCCGTTTCATTTGTTCAGTTTGTGACAACCATTGAAAAGTGTGTGAGGCCTTAAGGTCAGGTTCAATTGTTCAGTTTGTGACAACTATTGAAAAGTGTGTGAGGCCTTAAAACACCTGACCCGTTTCAATTGTTCCATTTGTGACAACCATTGAAAATAAGGCCTCACACACAAACACCTGACCCGTTTCAATTGTTCAGTTTGTGACAACCATTGAAAATAAGGCCTCACATACAAACACCTGACCCGTTTCAATTGTTCAGTTTGTGACAACCATTGGTTTGTGACAACCATTGAAAATAAGGCCTCACACACCTGACCTGTTCAATTGTTCAGTTTGTGACAACTATTGAAAATAAGGCCTCACACACAAACACCTGACCCGTTTCAATTGTTCAGTTTGTGACAACCATTGAAAATAAGGCCTCACACATAAAACCTGACCCGTTTCAATTGTTCAGTTTGTGACAACCATTGAAAATAAGGCCTCACACACAAAAACCTGACAAAAAGGCAGTTGCAAATAAAACGGTTTACGACTGTATTTTCACTTGGTCATCACAATTAAATTCTTATTCCGAAGTATTTTATTACAATTTGTTTGTTTGTTTTAACGACACCAGAGGGAATACAGTTAACAAAACGCATGGTTGTTTTGCTTTGGACAAGAATTGTAAGAATTTTGATAATTAATACAGCCTGCTAAAAAAAAGTTCTTCAATTTAGACGCAAAAAGATTGAGGGAGTTTTGTAACACTAATAAACATAAAACCTGTAAAAAAGTCACGTTGTAATACTAATAAACATAAAACCTGTAAAAAAGTCACGTTGTAATACTAATAAACATAAAAGTAAGTAAGTGATGCTGTCAATGGTTTTTATTTACAACTATAAGTTTTAATGTGTCAAAAATTTAGGATTATTGTGACAAAGGACTGTCCGTCCCTAATCTTGTACTGACCTGATAGACAGGCAGCTAGTCAACACCACCCGCCGCCAGCTCTTGGGCTACGTTTTTACCAATTAATTGTGGGATTGACCGTCACATTATATCGACGCCATTACTGAAAGGGCGAGCATGTTCGGTGACGGGGATTCGAACCTACGACCCTCAGATTGAGAGACGAGCTCCTTATTACACACCAAACAGTGCATGGTCAGCAGCACCCACCACCAAAGTTGGACGTAACCGTCACTTTCATAGCGAATTCACAATAACGGGAATCAAACTCCGAATCCTTGGATTCGCAATCCGGGCAGGATAACCAATATGTCAGGCCTGGTTATATTGGTTAGTCTTTCTCTGGAACAGTAACCCGGATGTTTAAATCTTTCTTTTCTTCTTGTCCCCAGCGGTAAGTTCACACATTAACAAATCACCCAATGTGGCTTTGCTCTAAAACAAACAAACGTTTCTTCTTAGTGCGGCAATCAAATACTAAAGTTTTTCAACAATGTAGAGTTTATTTAATTTCGTAAATTTAACGAGTTATAGCATTCAACGAAAGGCCTCTTAGATAGTGATATGTGGAAAACCTTTTCACACACACCTCTGGTTTTGAATCCACAACGGACAAAATAAGAGAAATGTACAAAAAAGAAAGAAATACAACGTGACTTTTTACCGTTTTATGTTAATTAGTATTACAACGTGACTTTTTTACCGGTTTTATGTTTATTAGTATTCCAACGTGACTTTTTTACAGGAATTTTTCAGGAATTCCTGAAAACAGATACAAAAATTTTGCTTTGGTGTAAAAAAAACAAAAAAAAAAACAATCCAACAAAAAGAGGTGGAATCGTAATATCACCAAAACATTTGACGCCCAGCTTACATTGAGAAAACCATCAACCCGAAACATTGTTTGCCAGAGTAACATTATATAACTGCCAATATGTCTATAGTTCTCCAGTAGCCGAGGGGGTTTCGACACATTGTGCAGCTTTGCGCTTAACAACAAAGCAGACTACTGCTCTATAGTTACTGTGAATGATATCAAATAACATTTAAACGTAACAAACAGTCTTATCTGTTTATAATTGACATTTTTTCGATCATAAGAAAAACTTTCATTAAAGAATGTATTTTTAGTGGACTCTTTCAAACGTTTCATGCACAGCCTAATTATTGTACAACAGATAGTTTTTCTTAAATATACCAATTTTTTTTTATTCAACTAGCTAGCCAGATATATTCATATTAAATATCACGAGTTTTTCCTTTTTCAAACCAGTTTGATTTTGATAGAGACGCTGCTCTTGTAAAAATCTCTCATTCAATTTCATTTCCAAGCGTTTAGGTGCTGTTGTTGTTTATTTTTAACACAAAGCTACAAAACGGGCTACCTGCGCTCTGTCCACCGCAGGGGATCGAACCCCGAATTGTAACATAGTAAGACTGGAAAGTTACCGTTGATCCCCTCGGGGAATAAGCGTATATAATAAGCAGTTGTTTCAATATATACTGATCTAACACCAAGAACAGTTCTAGTGTTACGTTACACTAGCTACACGAAAGGAAAATAAGCGAGGCGTTGTGTTCTCTTATTGAACAAAAATAAATCTGTTACTCTTACTCTTTTTACAAGATGGAAAATAAGCACATTTACACGTAATGTGTGATAAAAAAATATTATTTTGTGTAATGATTTAGAAACTAACAGAAATCAGAATAAGGATCATGTTGATATACTTACTTGTTAAAGCTAGTGAACCCTAAAAGTCTAAGTACCTTTCTCTATATTACTTCGATTTTATACTTCCTCTATGTATTAAAAGTCAAGTACAGGGATGATGAATTTCAGAACCTTTATGTAAGTCCCTCCTTTATCTTGAAGATGACACCCAGTTTCTATTTCCTTTCCTTGTATGTATGTTTAATCTCTCACTTCCCTCTTTCTAGTCTATCACTTCTAAACCAGGGACGGCTAACGCAGATAGCCCACGAGTAGCCTAGCGTGAAATTAAACAAAGAGGCTGTGCCTAATAGTCCTTTATATAAGACTGTCTGCACTATTAGGCTGTACTTAATAGTCCATTATATAAGACTGTCTGCACTATTAGGCTGTACTTAATAGTCCATTACATAAGACTGTCTGCACTATTAGGCTGTAGTTAACAGCCCATTACATAAGACTGTCTGCACTACTAGGCTGTACTTAATAGTCCATTATATAAGACTGTCTGCACTATTAGGCTGTACTTAATAGTCCATTATATAAGACTGTCTGCACTATTAGGCTGTACTTAATAGTCCATTATATA